ATAAACTTACATCTATCTAGACTCATTAACATTGTACCAGATTCTTGAAATGTTACAGGGATGGAGGGGGGAATTAGGGATCAGAAGCTTAAAAGAAGTGTGATCGTAAATCAATTGACGATTTATTGATCAGGAATATTAAATTAAAGTTACACTGCACTTTTTCTCATTGTTTTATTAAAGATCTTCAAATCAGCCATTCCATTTCATATCCGTTGTTGTACGTTTCTTCAGCTTTCAGTTTTCTTGTACAAACCCGATTGTTCATATGGCGCCGATCTACTTCTAAAGGGAAATTACAGAATGGTAGCACCTTTTGTGCGATTCTTCATGATCTTAATGACTGATTGAGCAGTATTACTGTGAGGAGAAATTACATGCTGGTCACCATTAATGTACAAACCCTGTCTTTCCCATGAGCAGCACATCCAGTATTGTGTTAAAACAACAGAGTAGTCTTCACTTGTTCTCTTTACTATACGCGCCCTTACGTGCCCTTCATGAGAGATTAATAAGATGTCTTTTTCATTTTGTGTGTCACCCGTGTATGTAAGACTTCAGAGTCAAAGGGAGGCTTTATTGTAATAATTTCAATTTGAATTCTCGATATTTCGTTTTATCTTAATATTTTGGTCTGGTTTTTTTCTAAGTCTTTCAAAACGTTCCAATCGTTCGAGTCGCAAAATGCTTGTGGCAGATGTTTAATCCTTTTTTTTTTCTTTTTACTTTCAGATTACTTTCCTGGTTAAAGAATAGTGTTAAGTACACCGATATTATTAATTTTCTGTCTTTCACGTGCAAATTCATAATACATAATGCCTTTCTTTCACCCTTACTCTTAAACAATTGGCTGAGCGTGCAAACAAAATTCCGCATCAAATCTGTGACGCGTTAACCACTGGGAGTTGAAAATCCATATTCATCAGACATTGCAGAATTTTCAGCAAACCCCGCTGTTTGCCGGTGAGTAAAGACGTGCCATCTCTCTTGGTGAAGACATGAATTTTACGCACTGAGACAAGGAGACACTTGACCTGAAAGGAAAAGGAATGTAGGAAGTCTTACATTATTATTACAGAAGCTAGGTGAGCATTCCTTTGCAAAAAATATTGGTTTCAATTTGAACTACTTTTGAAAGCGGAGCGACCAGCTGCATCTTAGTTGAACGAGTCAACACGTGGTAGTTGTTTAAATCTGAGCTGCTCGACTCGAAGTTCGATGAATAAGATGTCGGCCTTCGTTGAGGCAGAACTTGTGCTTGTAAGAAAGTGCAATAGAAAATCTCCACATTAACTATCTTTTGGTCTTACACTAAAATTTAAAATACCTTATTGATGTGAAATTTATTGGGGATGTTTTTCATTTGCATTTGAACGCGCGCGGCCACATAGATTTTCGAAGATTATAATAATAAGAGAATAAATCCTATCCTTTCACTGTGAAATATCCATTTAAATCCCCCAGATTTCATGTTTTCGTAAACAGGGTTATCTAGAGTTATTATAGAGTCCAGACCGCGAGCAAATTCTGATCGTGTTGCTAATTTATGTTTTCAGCGAGAGAAATGCTGCGAGTTGTGTGGAGAGATAAAGAATCTTACAAGCAAGAGGAGTTTCATAACAAGAGGAGGATATGACAAAGATAAGAACTTTGACATTATTATGTAGCTTTAGCAAAAATGGTGGTTTTCTTAAACTCGTATTATTACGAGTCTTCACTCTTCACTCTTCTTGAGCGCTTTTCGATCGAGTGTCGTAAAATCAAAATCAAAGCAATCACAACAACCAATCATAGCGAGGAAAATATCATCAGGAGCCAATGAGAATTCGATGTCAAAACACGGTAAACAAACTGCTAGAAGCGCAAGAAAACGTGAGTGATCAAGTCGCGGCTGGTTTTAGTTTAAATCCGATTGGTTGAGATAGTGGCGCGGAAAACAAAGCAATTACTGAATACTTTTGACATTTGATTGAAAATTGCTTCATTAGTTACTTCTTTTGAGTCATCTTGGACAAGGAAACTTTGCTATGACATCAATTACTTGGTAAGTGAGTAGCTTTTAACAAGCCACCATTTTTGTAATAGCACGTTGGGGTACAGGTTTTTATGCAGACTTAAAGCGATTGTATAGTGTTTTGGACTGCTATCTTTAAGAATTTACAATCTATCTTAGAAATTATCGCCAGCGAGAGGTCATTGATAAAGAAAGCATTATGATGCTGATATGTGCATGGCCGTAAAAGCCTTAAACTAAAGTTCGCGGGGCA